TACCTGTATTGACAACATTGTACCCACCATACAAGTCAGGAGGTTTCCCAACCAGAGGCCCTGGATAAACAGTCAGGTACGCCACATGTTGCGTGCTCACTCTCATGCATTCAGATCAGGTGATGAGACAGAGTACAAAGCTGCAAAGTACAGACTGAGGAAAGCCATCACAGCGGCCAAGAGGCAGTACAGAGAGAAGCTGAATGGCTTCTATTCTACTGCTGACTCCGGACGGATGTGGCAAGGCCTGCAGCACATCACAGACAACAGGCCCACCACCAGCTTAATCAGCTCCAGAGACAGCCTGCCGGATGACCTAAACACCTTCTACACCTGCTTTGAGACCTCCAGCCACAGCACAGAGAAAAGGCACACACACAGCACCCAACCCCCCACCTCCCCAACTCCCCTCCACTAACTGTCTCACCAGGCCAGGTATGCACAGTCCTAAGGAAGATCAACCCCCGCAAAGCAGCAGGACCGGACAACATCCCTGGGAGGGCTCTCAGGGCATGTGCCAGCGAGCTGGCTGATGTTCTCACCACCATCTTCAACCTCTCCCTCAGCCTTCAAATACCTGGGTGTCCACATCAGTGAGGACCTCACTTGGACACTTAACACCACACAGCTGGTCAAGAAGGCCCAATGGCGGCTGTACTTCCTGAGGAGGCTGATGAGGTTTGGCATGTCGCCTAGGATCCTTTGCAACTTCTACAGCTGCATCATTGAGACCATCTTGACCAGCTGCATCACTGTCTGGTATGGCAGCACTACTGCTATGGACCGCAAGCGCCTGCAGAGAGTGGTAAAGACTGCGGAGAAGATCACTAGGACTCCACTCCCCTCTCTGCAGAGCATTTACCACCGCAGGGTGCGTAGGAAAGCTGCCTCCATCCTCAAAGATCCCACCCACCCCCAGCACGGACTGCTCACTTCTCTGCCCTCTGGCCGGAGGATCAGAAGTGTGAAATGCAGGACCACTAGACTGAAAAACTCTTTCTTTCCCTCTGCCAT